CCATCTTGGACATGTTTATTGTGGCTGAGGAGTTATAAGCAGGATCTTGTAAGGTGTTCAGTAGGTTCAACATGGAATAGTTGTATAATAGCTCTGGAGGCACTCTTGCTTTCACAATGAAGAACACCTGCCAGCGAACTTTCCAAATATTAAGGTGGGAGTTCAAATGCAGTGGGAAGAAGCTGTGAGCTATATGGGGCAAATTTTGTTTTGAAAACTACATTTATGTAAGCTGGATCCAAATTCAGACAAGTGTAATGTAATCAGAACCTTGGAGATCTGCCTTGGGCATGCCTGTCAATCAAAAGTCTAAGCAACTATTTTATCTACAAGTACATAGAGCAAAGGACAGGGGAAAGAAAGGGCCCAGAAACAATTCTTTATGGGGTGACACAGGAGTGTGGTCCTCCAAATAGATGTAAAAAGGGACTTTTAAAGAAAGAGAAGAGGCCTGTGAATGTATGCCCAGCAGGGGAGTGAAGACCTGAGTTGTTTCAAACAGGACAGATATACATTTGCCTGGATTCTCATCATGGGCTGTTGCGATGGCCACAGAGCTTGCTCTGAGCACACATGGAACTGCCACACTGTGTTACCATGCAGTCGTTTGGTGCTCATGGGACACCTCTAGGACATGCTGGGGTTCTGGGAGAGAAATAATGGAGACAACACAGAGCACTTCCCTGGACTTGCTTAGTGAGAAGTGCATCTGGGTCTCATTTGACTTCCCGTAACCCGGGGCCTGGACTGGGGTTCTCTAAGCCTTGAGTGCACACCTCTGGGGTCAGTTGCTGTGATAACATAACCTTCATCCTAAGAATGCTGAATTCCATAGCTTTTACTTTTCACTGAAGACTTGCCTTATGCCCCTCCTCCCATTAAGCCAAGCAGAAGCGTGTTCCCTGAGAAGGAATCCTTGCCTCAGCCACCTCCTCATACAGACTATACTTATTTTCTTTTGTGGAGCTCTCACACAACATCACCTTCAGTTGGCACATGAGACAAATAGTGAGGGCCCTGTCAGTGAAAGGGTAAATATGGTGGAGCAGTAGTGCCATCACTTTATGGGGCTCTCCCAAGCTAAGTACCTCTTTTTCTTCTGGGGGATGCCCTGGCTAAAGGAAGAACCCACAATAGTTTGTCTGCACTGTGGGGACATTTGTGGGTATGCAGTCCATTCTCTTCACTGGTACACATGAGGGTTCATAAGCCCAGGCAGTGGGATGGCCTGCAAGACAGAGCATGCAGGCTTCCTTCAGAGAAGATCAACCTCTAGTCAGTGGTAGAGAACCCTTTATCTGCCAATGGCCATTTGGATATTTATAACATCATTCATAGGCCATACAAAATTATCAACTTAAAAATTAGCCAGCTATAACCTGACTGGCATCCGGTGTGGCTCACTGGTTGTATGTCGACCTATGAACCAGGAGGTCAGGGTTTGATGCCTTGTCAGGGCACATGCCTGGATGGCAGGCTTGATCCCCAGTGTGGGACATGTAGGAGATAGCCGATCAGTGATCCTCTCTCATCATTTATGTTTCTATCTCTCTCTCCCTTTCCCTTCTTCTTTGAAATCAATATAAAACATTTATAAATATATAACCTGCTATATTTGGTCAAGCATTTAATTAACTCACTTCTAACTCCTAGGATGGGGCAGATCAAATGATTTCATGGGCCTTAGGTAGCCCACGGTCTGGACATTCCCCACCCCTGAATTTTAAAATCCCACTTGGATTATCTAAATTTTTTTCAGTACAAAAACTTGAGTCTAAAGATAGCATATGATTATAAATCCTGGTTGGTGTGCTTAATATCTTGAAATCTGGATATGAGATGCAAAAAATATTTTTTCCACACTGGCAAAATGTCACATGTCACACAAGCCAAAACCTTTTTTTTCTAAAATAAAAAAATACAAAAGAATTATTAACCTCATTTTAATTTTAATTATTTTATTCTTGAAAGTTTTTATTGCCAGGATTCATTCTATTATTAGATCTAATTGCACAAAAATAAGTCCCAAAACTAATTTTCACTGGAATTAGAGAAATTGAGGTATGAGGGGTTGTTCTCTCATCCCAGAAAAGATTCAGAAAGTTGATTTTAATGCAAGTTCCAAAATAAACATTGCGTGGTCGGCAAACTGCGGTTCATGATCCACATTGGCTCTTTGGCCCCTTGAGTGTGGCTCTTCAACAAAATACCACGGCCTGGGTGAGTCTATTTTGAAGAAGTGGTGTTAAAAGAAGTTTAAGTTTAAAAAATTTGGCTCTCCAAAGAAATTCCAATCATTGTACTGTTGATATTTGGCTCTGTTGACTAATGATTTTGCTGACCACTGACTTAGACTATTGCCTGGAACACAGTAAGAACCATTTAAGTGTGGTCTACTGTTATTATCTCAATTAATCTTCACAACCCCATGAGGTAGATACTATTATGACAGTAAGTTCACAGATGAGGGAACTGAGGCATAACAGGATGGTAAAACAACTCACCAGGTTAGCCAGCTAGCAAAAGCAAAACAAAGCTAGGATGCAGGCACCCGCAGTGGGATTCCAAGTAGTCTCCTAATTTATCTTTTCATCTGAATTTCTAGTCCGATTCATGGATTTTGGGGTAGATCCTATCAGAACCCGAGAGTCCCATCCATTAATTACTGACTCCCGGGAGAGGAGAGTGGTGCTTAGAGCCCACGGGACAAGGTAGACTGCTATCGCGTGCTGGAGTTGCTAAGGTCTCAGCGTTTTTTTGTGTGTGTTTTTTTGTTTGTTTGTTTGTTTGTTTTTTTAGCCCTGTCTCTGACCTAAGGGCAACAAGCCTAGCGCCCACTGATGGGCATCGAGGGTCAGGCGGAGAGGCTTCTCCCAACACTTCTCCCGGGCTCCAGGCTCGGTGTGCCTGTGTGGGTCCGTGCTCTCCGCCCCTTGCCCTACCTCAGGTCAGCTTGCACTATCCACCAAAATTCCTTCCTCAGGACAGTGCCCTCACCCAAATCTAAGTAGTCAGCTAAACTGCAAGTTAGAGCCCTCACATGCACACCCCTACTCACACCCTTCTGGCAAGCACCCATCCCTGTTACAGCCATGCCCTGGTTGCGTTCGCGTCCCAGCAGGTCCCACCACCAGCAGCACCACATGGACCAGGCGCCAGAAAGAGTTCCCGAGCCAGGGATCGCCACAGGCTGGAGTACATGAAGACCCAGGTTATGGCAGTCTGGGAGTCCATGAGCTCCTGGAAGAGCTGCATGGACAGTGCCTAGACTGGAACAGTTGCCTTAGTGAACTTCAAAAAACGAACTTTTCCTAGGAAACAAGTAGTCTGGCAGCTCTCATTTCATTTCTTGGTCCTCACCCACGACCAATTGTTTTTACATAGAAGATATCCAACATAGTTATGCAACAAAAATTAATCCCTAAATATTGAAAGTAAAACTAAACAAATGAATCCGTGTATTAAATTAGTGGCATAATCACACAGAGCAACACTTTTATGTCAGTTTAAGATTCAGTAATTTCATCATGCATCCCTAGTAGGAGTATACCCTAAGGATAAAAAATCTTCAGCACTTTGTAGTAATTATTTCATTACAGCTTCAGTGTATGTTTACACTGATGCGAATTGTGGGATAAAACAAATGAGTAATTGTACTGGGGACATTGAGAGATGGAATATTTATGAGGAATAAAGGAAATACAAATATAATATTATTGAGGTTAAATAAAATCTCTGTAGTCCTGAGTGGAAATACAATTGTGAATAACTCATAGTGTATTTTATCTCCAAATAAAATTCTACCTTTCTTCACCAATGTGTGTGTGTGTGGGGGGGGGGGGGAGATATCCAATAGTGTGGTCCACTTTTTCCATTTAACATTATTTCCTACATCTATCTTATCTTTAAATTCCAAAAAAAAGTTTTCCAATAATTAATGGCATTAGCTTTCACGGTCTGGTAAAAATGTCTTAGGAGAAAAGACACCAAGGTCATCTAGCTACTACCTGTATTTCCCCGAAAATAAGACATCCTCCGAAAATAAGACCTAGCTCATAGAAAGATAACACATCCCCTGAAAATAAGACCTAGCGCAACTTTGGGAGAAAAAAATAATATAAGACACTGTCTTATTTTCGGGGAAACAGGGTAGTAGAATGGATCCAGAATTTCCACAACAAATTCACTGTATCTTCAAAAATTAAAGTCTGTAGAATTAGTGTTCCAATTTAAAAACAGTGTAAAATAAATAGAAATAATGATAATTGACCATGTGTTGCCTACCTAGTATATGATGGGACTAGTTTAAGGGGCCGGGCAAGGAGGGGAGGATTACAAATTCCTTTTGCTGGAGTAAATTGGTGGAGGTCGTTGTCTAGAAGAAAAATGTGCAATTTTTCTCTATGCTGCAAATTTAACTGAAGTGTATGATCAAGTCATTAAGATAGACTGTGTGCCCTCTAAGCTAATTGGGCAGTATGAAGTTTAGGAATTACCAATTAAGATAAACCTTACCTATTTTGCTTGGGATTGGAAACGGAAAATTGCGGGGGGGGGGGGGGCGCTCGCCTACGTACATATATACACAAACATGTAAAATTACATGGGTTTGGTGTTCATATGGCCGCTGAGTGAAAAATGTGCTGTGGCCTGTCGTCTCGTCCTTCTCTTCAGGTATTTCCATTTGAGGATGAAGAAAAGATATGGTCTCCAGTCCAGTTTAGAATCCAGCAACCTCGCTCGGAACCGGAAGAATGTACGGATCCGGTTGCCCCACCGGCTTCTTTATGCCGTTACACACATCGCCTTCCGTAGGCAGCGCTAGCTAGTATGTCCGGGGAAGATATTTGCCGACGTACCCGGAACTGTTTCCAAGGTTTCCTCAGATTCTGGTAGTGGTGTGGTGACAGGTTTTGCGACCCAAGCTGCCGTTCGTTACCTTCCCAGGTTAGAGAGATAGCCCCCTCCCCCTCCCCCGCCTCGGGAACGCCGCGGCAGCGATGGCTCCGGTGTCTGGTTCGCGCAGCCCGGAGAGGGAGGCCGCGGTCTCCAGGGTGAAGCGCCGCAGTTCGTCGAGGAGCCCTAAGCCCAGCAAATCCGCCCGCTCCCCGCGGGGCCGCCGCTCTCGCTCGCATTCTTGCTCTCGTTCTGGGGATCGGAATGGCCTCAGCCATCAGTCAAGTGGCCTCAGCCAAGGCTCCCGAAACCAGCCCTACCGCTCCCGCTCGCGGTCACGCTCTCGAGAGCGGCCCTCTGCGACACGGGGGACCCCCTTCGCTTCTGGCTCCTCGTCCGCCTATTATGGCGGCTACTCACGCCCCTACGGGAGCGACAAGCCTTGGCCTAGCCTCCTGGACAAGGAGAGGGAGGAAAGCCTGCGCCAGAAGTGAGTGAGACGGACGCATCCTCTCTTGCGCCCACCTCCCTTCCTAGTCGATTTATAGCCCTTCTATTTGCATTTCTCTCTTTCCACCTGCCTTGCGCCCATTTTCATCCCTTCTTTCAGTCCACCCACGACAACACCTTATTCGCTCTTTTCTTCCCTTAGGTTTTCATTCATCCTCAGGTCCCTTTAGACAGTGCCCTGGTCTCCCACCCCTCCCTTCTGCTCCTGACATGTAGCGGCCATGGACAGGAGCCTCAGACCTACCGGAATTATATAGCATTATTATATAGCATTTACTTGGTTGCGTGGTTATCATTCATGAGCATGTTTTTATTTCCCACTAGACTGACATCTTGGAAAGGAAAAGCCCTATTTTATTGATTACAAAATTTGCAGTACTTTGTAGAAACATAACCATTGCTTGTTGAATGAATGATCAGCCAGGTTTAAGATGATAACAGGATATGTAAGTGGAAATGTTTTATAATGAGCTGGGAAGCATTGAGATTAAGGGTTTAAATTGGAGAGGTGAAAAACTGAGATAAGATGATTAAATGAATGTAGAAAATGTGACCTGCTACTCCATTAAAAATTTTTTAATTTTTTTAATGGAGTAGCAGGTCCATAAAAAAAATTTTTATGCTACTCCATAAAAAAAGATTTTGGAACTTATTGTATGAAATTTGCCTTTGTACATTTAGCAGACACATAATTTATCTTAAGAGAACAGGTGGCAGCCCTGACCGGTTTGGCTCAGTGGATAGAGCACCGGCCTGTGGACTGAAAGATCCCAGGTTCAATTCTGGTCAAGGGCATGTATCTTGTTTGTAGGCACATCCCCAGTAGGAGGTGTGCAAGAGGCAGCTGATTGGTGTTTCTAACTCTCTATTCCTCTCCCTTCCTCTCTGTAAAAAAACAATAAAAGATATATTTAAAAAGAGGGAGAGAGAGAGAGAGAGAGAGAGAGAGAGAGAGAGAGAGAGAGAGAACAGGTGGCAGCAGGGGTGAGAATTTAACTGCTTGGCCGAAACTGGTTTGGCTCAATGGATAGAGCGTCGGCCTGCGGACTGGGGGGTCCCGGGTTCGATTCCGTCGGGGGCATGTACCTTGGTTGTGGGCATATCCCCGTTTGGGGGGGGGGGTGCAGGAGGCAGCTGGTTGATGACTCTCTCTCATCGATGTTTCTGGCTCTCTGTCTCTCTCCCTTCCCCTCTGTACAAAATCAATAAAAATATTTTTTTTAAAAAAAGAATTTAACTGCTTGATCTTTCAGGCATTCTTCTTCCACCCCCCTATGCATTATATCCCAAGTTCAGTTATAAGTATGTCCCTTTTTAGACTGTTTCTTCAAGTAGGAAGTCTGATTCTGACTGTATGGTTATAATGTCCCTTTCCCTGAATAAAGAAGTAAAAAAATCATTTATTCAAACAATCAAACGAATTATATTTATATTGTGAATTTTTTTAATGGAGTAACAAGCAGCTAAACTTTGAGGCACAGCCTTATATTTTTTTGTTTTATTTTTAAATATATTTTTATTGATTTCAGAAAGGAAGGGAAAGAAAGAGAGAGAAACATCAGTGATGAGATGGAATCATTGATTGGCTGCCTCCTGCATGCTCCCTACTGAGATCCAGCCTACAACCCAGGTATGTGCCCTGTCCAGGAATGGAATCATGACCTCCTAGTTCATAGGTTGGCACTCAACCACTGAACCACACCAGCTGGGAGAGCCTTAATTGTTTTTGGTGTGGTGGGGTTTTTTTTGTTTGTTTGTTTGTTTTGTTTTGTTTTGTTTTTGTATTTCGTTTGCTTGTTTATGAGTTATAACAAAAATTAAGAGAAGACATCACAAACATAAAACAAAAAAATTTTGTGGTCTCCACGAGTAGATACATACTTCTTTTCAAATAAAATTTAAAAAAAGCCTAAAAGGAAAACAGAAAACAAACCCTGTATCTCATTGAGTACAGTTTTTCTCGAATAAAACTTGTTTTCAGAGCTTGCTTTATTTTCTACTTCTAGGCTTCATTTTTATTTTCTTCATTAATTCTTGAGTTCCAGCAAATAGAAGGTTTGACCAAACAAAAATAATGACTTCTCTTTATTTTCATAAATGTGTATACAAATTAAGTGTTTCCAAATGTAAAACTGTTTGTCATATGTTGCAGAAGATGAAATGAGCAGTTGTGAGCAATGTCATATATGCAGCAGAAAGGATGCACTTGATAGGCTGCATTTCTGGCCCAGCCTCTCAGGCTGTTTGTAATCTGTACCATTTGAAAGTACTATCAAAACATCAGATCGTAATTGTTGAGTTTATATTTAAACCAACTTTTTATTAATTGAAAGATTAAAATGTAAAGGGAAAATAGGATTCAATTGAAATCTTTGGAATTTGATTATATATTTAGGAAGCATCATTTATTTATGGAGTTGTAATTTACATGCCTGTATCTTCTAGGAGATTAAGTGAGAGAGAGAGGATTGGAGAATTGGGAGCTCCTGAAGTATGGGGACTTTCTCCAAAGAATCCAGAACCAGAGTAAGTGATTTAAAAATATTTTTTTTAATTTATCCTTTGTTTAAATATAGTCTGTTGTCACATTTTTTGTTGAGTGAAGAACTTGAAGTACAGCTCACCTTTTTCTCCTTTCATGTGATTTATGCTCTTCTACCCCTTAAGTTTTAAAACATTGGACATACCTAAAGATTAAAACATGTTGAGAGTGCATTGGCATACTGATAAGTTTTCTTAAATTGTTATTCACGGGTTGCTAATTTCCTAATCATAGAAAAGTTCAGTCTTTAAACAAATACATTTATATTGTTTCTTTTTTTAATTTAAATTTTTTATTGTTGAGAGTATTATATATGTCTCCTTTTTCCTCCACTGACTTCTCCCGTTTGCTCCCACCCCCAGCACATGTCCCCACCTCCCTACTGTCTGTGTCCTTTGGTTATGCTTATATGTATACATACAAGTCCTTGGTTGATCTCTTACCCAAAACCCCTCTCACCCACCCCTGCCTTCTCTCTGAGGCTCGACAGTCTGTCCAATGCTTCTGTGTCTCTGGATCTATTTTAGTTCATCAGTTTATGTTGTTCATTAAATTCCACAAATGAGTGAGACCATTTTATCTTTCTCCAACTGGGTTATTTCGCTTAGCATAATGCTCTCCAGTTCCATCCATGTTGTTGCAGATGGTAAGATTTTTTTTATAGCAGCATAGTATTCCATTGCATAGATGTACCACAGTTTTGTTTTGGGTATTTTCTTTATTGATTAAGGTATTACATATGTGTCCTTATCCCTCTATTGCCCCCCACACCTCCCACACTCATTCCCTCACCCCCTGGTGTCTGTGCCCATTGGTTAGGCTTATATTCATGCATACAAGTCCTTTGGTTGATCTCTCCCCCTTACCCCCACCCTCATTTCATTTTTCAAATGTATCTGTCCAATTTTCCCAACATCACTTATTGAAGAGACTGTCTTGACTCCATTGTATGTTCGTGCCTCCTTTGTTAAATATTTATTGAGCATAATGGCTTGGGTTATTATAAAGGTGATTTCTGGGTTCTCTGTTCTGTTCCATTGATCTATATGTCTGTTCTTGAGCCAGTACCAGGCTGTTTTGAGAACAGTGGCTTTGTAATACAGCTTGAAATCTGGTATTGAGATCCCTCCTACTTTGTTCTTCTTTCTCAGGATTGCTGTGACTATTAGAGGTCTTTTTTTATTCCAGATGAATTTTTGGAAGGTTCTTTCTAGGTCTGTGAAATATGCAGTTGATATTTTAATGGGGAGTGCATTGAACCTATAGATTGCTTTGGGTAGTATGGACTTTTTAATGATGTTGATTCTACCAATCCATGAACATAGTATGTTCTTCCATTTGATTATGTCTTCCTCTATCTCTTTTTTCAATATCTTATAGTTTTACAAGTATAGGTCTTTTACATCCTTAGTTAACTTTATTCCTAGATATCTTAATTTTTTTTTGGTGGAATGATAAATGGGATTTTTTTTTTTTTTTTTAGTTTCTCTTTCTGTGAGTTCATTATTGGTGTATATAAAAATGCATCAATTTCTGGGCATTAATTTTGTATCCTGCTACATTGCCAAATTAAGTCTGGAAGTTTTTGATTGAGCCTTTCAGATTTTTTTATCTACAATATCATGTCATCTGCAAATACTGATACTGTACTATCCTTGCATCCCTGGTATAAATCCCACTTGGTCGTGGGATTTCTAATGTAATGCTGGATCTGATTTGCCAGAATTTTGTTGAGGATTTTAGCATGCACTAGTATGTTCATCAGGGATATTGGCCTGTAGTTCTCTTTCTTTATTGTGTCTTTATCTGGTTCTGGAGTTACGATAATGCTGGCTTCATAGAAAGAGCTTGGAAATGTGCCTTCCTCCTGAATATTTTTAATAGTCTGAGGAGGATAGGTTTTAGTTCTTCTTTGAGTGTTTGCTAGAACTCCCCTGTAAAACCATTTGGACCAGGGATTTTGTTTGCTGGAAGTTTTTTGATTACTGCTTGAATTTCATCAATAGTTATTAGCCTAGTCAGGTTTTTTTATTCCTTTTGGTTGAATTTTGGAAGGTCCTATTTTTCTAGGAATATGTCCATTTCTCCTAGGTTGGCCAGTTTGTTTGAATAGAGCTACTCATAGTATTTTTTTTTTATGCTTCTTCTTATCTCTGTGGGGTCTGTTGTTATTTCGCCTCTTTCATTTCTGATTTTGTTTATTTGGGTCCTCTCTATTTCTTGGTGAGCCTGGCTAGAGGTTCATCAATCTTATTTATCCTTTCAAAAAACCAGCTCTTGGTTTTATTGATCTTTTGTATTTTCTTGTGTGTGTTTTTTGTTTTTGTTTTTTGTCTCTATGTTGTTTATTTCCACTCTCTGGATCCATTCTGTTCATCAGTTTGTTTTTTGTTGCTTAGATTCTACATATGAGTAAGGTCATGTGATACCTGTCTTTCTCTGACTGACTTATTTCACTTAGCATGCTATTTTCCAGGTCCTTCAATGCTGTCTCGAAGGGTAAGAGGTCCTTCTTTTTTACTGCTGCATAGCATTCCATGGTATAAATGTACCACAATTTTTTGTCTACTCATCTGCTAATGGGCACTTGGGCTGTTTCCAGATCTTAGCTACTATAAATTGTGCTGCTATGAACATAGGGGTGCATATATTCTTTCTGCTTGGTGTTTCAGGTTTCTTAGAATATTTTTCTAGAAGTAGGATCACTGGGTCAAATTGCGGTTCCATATTTAATTTTTTGAGGAAACTCCATACTATTTTCCATAATGGCTGCACCAGTCTGCATTCCCACTAGCAGTGTACTAAAGTTCCCTTTTCTCCACATCCTCGCCAGCACTTGTCATTTGTTGGTTTGTTTTTTGTTTTTAATATATTTTTTATTGATTTCAGAGAGGAAGGAAGAGGGAGAGAGGGATAGAAACATTAATGATGAGACAGAATCATTGATCAGCTGCCTCCTGTATGCCCCCTCCTGGGGATCAAACATGCAATCCAGACATGTGCCCTTGGCCAGAATCGAACCTGGAACCCTTCATTTTGGAGGCCGATGCTCTATTCACTGACCCAAACTGGCTAGAGCTGTTGATTTGTTGATGGTAGCCGTTCTTACAGGTGTGAGGTAATACTTCTTTTCATTTTAATTTGCATCTCTCTAATGATCAGTGACTTAGAGCATTTTTTATATGTCTTTGGCCATCTGTATGTCCTCTTTGGAGAAGTGTCTATTTCGGTCCTTTGCCCTTCCTTTTTATTGGATAAATTGTCTTCCTTTTGTTAAGTTGCATGAGTTACTTACATATTTTGGATATTTAAACCCTTTATCAGATGTATCATTGCCAAATATGTTCTCTCTGCAGTGGGCTTCCTTTTCATTTTGTTGATGATTTCTTTTGATGTGCAGAAGCTTTTTATTTTGATGTAGTCCCATTTATTTATTTTCTACTTAGTTTCCTGTGCCTTAGGAAATATATCTGTAAACATATCGCTACAAGGGATATCTGAAATTTTGCTGCCTATGGTTTCTTCTAGGATTTTTATGGGTTCACGACTTACACTTTAGTCCTTTATCCATTCTGAGTTTATTTTTGTGTATGGTGTAAGTTGGTGGTCTAGTTTCTTTTCTTTTTTCTTTTCTTTTTTATTTTTTATTTTTTTTGCTTGCATGTATCTGTTCAATTTTCCCAACACCATTATTGAAGAGACTCTCTTGACTCCATTGTATGCTCTTGCCTTCTTGTCAAATATAAATTGAGCATAATGGCTTGGGTCGATTTCTGGGCTTTCCATTCTGTTCCATCTATCTATATGCCTGTTCTTGTGCCAGTACCAGGCTGTTTTGATTATGCTGGCTTTGTAGTATAACTTGAAATCTGGTATTGTGATTCCTCCAACTTTGTTTTTCTTTCTCAAGATTGCTGCAGCTATTTGAGGTCTTTTTTTAATTCCATATAAATTTTTGGAGAGTTTGGTCTAGGTCTGTAAAATATGCCTTTAGTATTTTAACTAGTGGCCTGGTGTATGAAATTTGTGCACAGGGGCGGGGGGGAGGGGATGGTGTCCCTCAGCCCGGCCTGCATACTCTCCAATCTGGGACCCCTTGAAGGATATCCTACTGCCTAAACCAGCAGTTGGACATCCCTCTCACAATCTGGAACTGCTGGCTCTTAACTACTCACCTGTCTGCCTGCCTATCTGATTGCCCCTGACCACTCTCCCTGCCAGTCTGCTCGCCCCCAGCTGCCCCCCGCTGCCGGCCTGCTCACCTCCAAATGCCCCCCACCAGCCTGATCACCCCCAACTGCCCCCATGCCAGTGTGCTCGCCCCCAATTGCCCTCCTGCCGGCCTGCTCACCCCAACTGCCCCCCCCTTGCTGGCCTGCTTGCCCCACCTCCCCTCCCCATTGGCCTGCTCTCTCCCAATTGCCCCCTGCTGGCCTGCTCACTCCAAACTGCCCCCCACTGTCCTGATCACCTCTAGTTGACCCCCATGATGGTCTGCTTGCCCCCAACTGCCGCCTCCTGCTGGCCTGCTCACCCCCACCTGCCCCCCCCCCCACTGGCCTACTCACCCCCAACTACTCCCCTGCTGGCCTGCTCAACCCAAACTGCCCCCCACTATCCTGATCACCCCCACTGACAGCCTGCTTGCCCCCAACTGGCCCCCTTGCTGGTCTGCTCACCCCTAACTGCCCCCCGCCAGCCTGATAACTCCCAATAGCCCCCCCTACCAAAATGGTCACCCACAACTGCTATCCCATCCTGGCCTGACCACCCACAACTGCCCTCCCCTCTTGGTCTCTAACTGCCTCTACCTTAGCCCTGCCACCATGACTTTGTCCATAAGAACATCCAGAAGGTCTCCTAGAAGGTCTCCCAGTCTAATTAGCATGTTACCTTTTTATTATTATAGATAGAGGCCTGTTGCATGGGTGGGGGCAGGCTGGTTTGCCCTGAAGGGTGTCCTGGATCAGGGTGGGGGTTCCCT